AATTAAAGCGGAATATTAGGGTTAACCGCTTTTCCGTAGCAGCATATTTGCCGTTCTCTACCCGTCAGGTGATAAAGAAAACGGATATAAGTAATACAATTAGACCATACACTATCCTAAACGGATAAATATAAGGTTACAGTTACAGTTTGTAGGATCAGAATCTGGTGATTATGAGATTCCCTGTGCTACTTTCTTGTTTATTGATTGCCTAAAATAATATACAATAAATAATCTACCAAGCAAATATTGTATCATTCAACAACATGAAATGCACCTGCATCTCTTTATAGAAAATGCCTTCGATGTATAACTTACGAAAATGCGACCTGTAAACTTGATTTATCTAAAAAGTATACGACTGATCATAGTGAGTGTGTTGTACGGCTGATGGTTTAAAGTCACTCTATGGGATTGTGGCTCTAACTTTGGTGATGCCCAGCTAGAACACCCAGATGACGTGACATCGAATGAAATTTCCGCCGCGATGACGTCCGGTCTGCCACATAATATCAGTTCATAGGGTTTCAGCAATTTTCATGTTTAATCTATTTGAGCATGGGAAAATAATTCAATATTGTTTTAAGCACCTTTCTTTTGCATCAAACGATCTGTAGTCAAAATAACAAAAATACGGCCTTCGGAAAAATCCATTAAAATCATCTCTTTCGTAAGTGCACTGGTGACACCCGTAAAATAGCCTCCTTTGTGGAGGTAATAAAGGCAATAATAATTATTATTACCAAGGCAATAGGGGTACCTGTTGCAATTGTCTTTAAAGCATTCCTTGTGGTAAAATTGCCATAAAAATCTATTCCTGACTATTTGAATTGCAATGTAACCAATCAATAAACCAACCAACGCTACCAAAATCATAACTTCCTTGGCGGAGATAATAATGAAACTAAGAAACTATCTAAACTTTATTGCTAATGTCATTTTCACTTTGCCAAAAATCCATTCTTTAACTACATTTATAACCATCATAAAAAGAATTCTATCCCATAAATATTAACGGAAATCTCTCGCGCAGCGTGGCCAGTCATTTCAAAAAACAAAATTGTATTGCAGTCTGTGAAGTCCTGATGGCGGCGATCGGTCTGCGCTGCTATTATTATCTGACGTGGAATTTCCCGATATTTCATCAGATCTGCTTGACTTTCAGGCCAATTTTGACAGAAATGCCCCGGAAGAAGGCGATGGGCTGCAGACCAAGTATAGAGTGAAATCCTCTAAGTATATAGCCGAAAATTCCAGTAGTTAGGTAGTAGACAAAGACAAGGTCTACAGGTCTCGTCACTTCGGAGTTCTGCGCAGCTTTGGGTGATAAGGCCTATGACGTCACTTGGAGAGAGCTGAGAGGAAGGGGGGCCGGGGGAATTAGAGCATGGTAGGGTGGGAGGGAGATAATAGAAAACGGTGGTAAATGAGCTGATACTTAAGTAATTTTAGATGTCGGCACGTTGAACGATTTGCATATTGAACAGATTTTACAGGCGATGATTATCAGCGATTGTTTATAGGCCTATATCACATATTCTACGTCAATTTAGTTTTGTAATTTTCATGTTGCAGATTAGAAATGGCATAATAAAGACGTAAAAAAAAAAAAGACATGGCATATGTAAACTCCAAATGTTTTTTTGACGAATTTATTATAAAACAAATCATACAACAATAACAATAATAATGTTAATAATAATAATAATAATAATAATAATAGCAATACATAAACATAATAATAACATAAATGTACATATATAAGCTGCAACCAATCACTGGGTATTGTGGTTCTGCACGCGCCGGTCAGTCAAGCGAGCGAAAACGGAGAGAGGGAGAGATCCTTACGGCTCTACCTCACATCAAAGAATGACCACACGATAGCATCGAACCCCCAGGCTCGGTCTCCAGATGACGTCATGCGCGAGATGGACGAATTTGAGTCGCTTAGTGACGAGACCTGTACCTTGGACAAAGGGCAAAGATATTCTTTATGGCAGATAAACGAGAACTTTGTGTTTAGCAATACGTCAACGGTTGTACATGAAAAGAAAAGTTGTTTGTTTAGGATAAGCTAATGTAAATATATATGACATGATTTTGTATGTGTAACACGAATTAATATTGAAGGCATGTAATCGATTTTCATGACTGATATCGCATCGTAATTACGAGCGCGATATCAGTCATGAAAATCGATTACATGTTAAATCTCCATTCTGCTAGGGCTGTCAGGCAGTGTTTTGTGTTTATCATTAGCAAGAAAGCGATAACAACAATTAAAACTGGGGGCGCCAACCGTCCCTTAAAATACGGAATCGTTCCGTATTTGGAAATAAATTGCCCTCATTAACCTGATCCGGGACACATTTTGTTCCGCATTTAATTTAACAATAAACAAAAGAACAAATTATATTATAATGAATGTTCGATACTGAAGTAGCAATCTTGCAGGAAAAATTGGTAAAATTGGGAAACTACGAAATTCAACAAAACGACG